TAGGGCGGAGACTAGTCGTGTAAGCTCACGACTGTTCTGAAGACGGGAATCATAGTGTGTAAGCTCACGACTGTTCTGAAGACGGGAAGTGACTGACCAGCCACCGGGTCAGGCACCACAACAGCAGCCCACTCCGCCTCATGGCAACGCCACTACAGGTGTAAGTCACTTGGCCAAAATCAGCCACAGAGGACTTAAAGCCCGGCGCTCCCGGCAGAGATGGAGCCCTGCTGGCAGTCACTGACGGCAGCCCAGCTGTGTGAAGCTCCCCTCCTGCAATGCCCGTTTCCAGTGGCCTCGGACCTTAGGTGACTGCGCTTTTCTAAGGGACTCACTAGACTGAGCAGGTATTTTAGTTTACTTTTTTTTTAGAATTATTTTTTAATTGAACTTTATTATTTATTTACTTAACTTTGTCCAGAAAGAGAGAGAGAGAGAGAGAGAGAGCGAGAGAGAGAGAGAGGGGGAAGCCACCAGGTCCAGGACTTGAACCATGGTCGGCCATGTGGGAGTCCAGCACCCTAACCACCATGCACCTGCTGGCCTTTAGTTTACTCTTAACATGTGCATTAGAAACGAGAAGGCCCGACATCTTCGGATAAGCACCAGGGCAGATCTGGGGTGACAAGGATCTGTCTCCCTGGACAAGCCCTCTACACACACAGGCAGTGAGGAAGGGGGCGGAGCACTGAGCTCAAGGCTCCCTTGGAAAGGAAAACACCAGCAGAACGGCCTATGAGGGAACCCCGACCAGCCACTCCTTTGCAGGCATGCAGGTCTGTTGGGACAGGAGAAATGACAAATGCCTTAAGAGAGTATAAAACATTGCTCACGATGGACCACAGGAGAAGGCGAACACTCACGAATGGCCACTGTGCAGCGGGCACTGCCAGTCCTTACTCACCACCCACTGACGGCAGGACACGCCGAAGCTCCCCTGCCTGACTAGGCTGACAAAGATGGAGCCCAGATGTGAACCGAGCTGGCTTGCCCTCCTCTTGGCAATGCAGAGCCCTCTTCCCGCCCCAAGCCCTTTTCTTTCCCACACAGGAAGGTGTCTACGGCATCTCTCCTGGACAGAAAGGCCCGCAGCCTGTTATGCAATTTTTGTTATAAAACATTTAATGTTAACCTACAATACAATGTAAACTTTTATGAAAAAAATTTAAAGTACACTAGATTTCTTCAGTAAATGATCACCTAACTATTCAGGTGCCGCACAAGCGGGGCACTGCACCCTCTGAGGATGGACGTCCCATTGCTGCATTCCTCGCCAGTCCTGAAACACCAGCTGTACGTGGAGCTTGTCCAAGCACTGGCGGACACTGCGCCCGACTTTGCCTTCTGGAGGTTATCGTGCCGTCTCAGTCATTTCCTCAAACTCTTCCTTGGCCTTGGCACCATTAGCAACTTTTGCTCAGTTGAAGATTCTAGGTTTTTTAGTTTCTTAAAGAGATATTCTCTCCTGGCCATCTCTTACCCAAATATTGTGGTAGAGGCAAGCAAGGAGGAAGAAATATTTGCACCAGGATGCCAGCACACACTGGCATGGTGTGACAAGAACACCAAGCCAGGCACTCTGCCAACCAGCAAGGCCGAACACCACCCCTGCTTTCCCCCCTTCCCGTACCACCGCTAGGGCGGAGACTAGTCGTGTAAGCTAACGACTGTTCTGAAGACGCTCACGACTGTTCTGAAGACGGGAAGTGACTGACCAGCCACCGGGTCAGGCACCACAACAGCAGCCCACTCCGCCTCATGGCAACGCCACTACAGGTGTAAGTCACTTGGCCAAAATCAGCCACAGAGGACTTAAAGCCCGGCGCTCCCGGCAGAGATGGAGCCCTGCTGGCAGTCACTGACGGCAGCCCAGCTGTGTGAAGCTCCCCTCCTGCAATGCCCGTTTCCAGTGGGCTCGGACCTTAGGTGACTGCGCTTTTCTAAGGGCCTCACTAGACTGACTGAGCAGGTATTTTAGTTTACTTTTTTTTTTAGAATTATTTTTAATTGAACTTTATTATTTATTTACTTAACTTTGTCCAGAAAGAGAGAGAGAGAGAGAGAGAGAGAGAGAGAGAGAGGCGGGGGGTGAGAAAGCAAGCCACCAGGTCCAGGACTTGAACCATGGTCGGCCATGTGGGAGTCCAGCACCCTAACCACCATGCACCTGCTGGCCTTTAGTTTACTCTTAACATGTGCATTAGAAACGAGAAGGCCCGACATCTTCGGATAAGCACCAGGGCAGATCTGGGGTGACAAGGATCTGTCTCCCTGGACAAGCCCTCTACACACACAGGCAGTGAGGAAGGGGGCGGAGCACTGAGCTCAAGGCTCCCTTGGAAAGGAAAACACCAGCAGAACGGCCTCAGAGGGGAAGCCCGACAGCCACTCCTTTGCAGGCATGCAGGTCTGTTGGGACAGGAGAAATGACAAATGCCTTAAGAGAGTATAAAACATTGCTCACGATGGACCACGGGAGAAGGCGAACACTCACGAATGGCCACTGTGCAGCGGGCACTGCCAGTCCTTACTCACCACCGCCGGCAGGACACGCCGAAGCTCCCCTGCCTGACTAGGCTGACAAAGATGGAGCCCAGATGTGAACCGAGCTGGCTTGCCCTCCTCTTGGCAATGCAGAGCCCTCTTCCCGCCCCAAGCCCTTTTCTTTCCCACACAGGAAGGTGTCTACGGCATCTCTCCTGGACAGAAAGGCCCGCAGCCTGTTATGCAATTTTTGTTATAAAACATTTAATGTTAACCTACAATACAATGTAAACTTTTATGAAAAAAATTTAAAGTACACTAGATTTCTTCAGTAAATGATCACCTAACTATTCAGGTGCCGCACAAGCGGGGCACTGCACCCTCTGAGGATGGACGTCCCATTGCTGCATTCCTCGCCAGTCCTGAAACACCAGCTGTACGTGGAGCTTGTCCAAGCACTGGCGGACACTGCGCCCGACTTTGCCTTCTGGAGGTTATCGTGCCGTCTCAGTCATTTCCTCAAACTCTTCCTTGGCCTTGGCACCATTAGCAACTTTTGCTCAGTTGAAGATTCTAGGTTTTTTAGTTTCTTAAAGAGATATTCTCTCCTGGCCATCTCTTACCCAAATATTGTGGTAGAGGCAAGCAAGGAGGAAGAAATATTTGCTGCAGGAAATTCTGCAGAAGTGGAAGAAAAGACTGGAAGGACCCCACTGAGGATGCAAAATGCAGCGGACTCCAATCGGGTGTCGCTGTTCGGGCAGTTCCCATGGTTATTTGGCTACATCTGCTTCAGTCTTGGGTGCGCAGAACGAACGTGAAACACGGGTTTTGCTCAGCTGATGACCTGCCACGCGCACACAGCAGCTGCGCTATCCCAGAGGTGATGTGACATTGCGTGCAATCGCCGGCAGATCACGGGCTTCTCCGTTTCCTCCTCTGCAGGTCCCACCAGGCTCCCAGTGGTCCTCAGGAGCCGCGGATTGAACTGGGGCACCACTGACAAACGGCACAGGCTGTCATCACTGAGAAGGCAAGACAATGGCACCCGGGCAGCAATACCAGGGTCTGCAAGGGGACAGGGACTGGGATGGGGAGTGTGCTCCGCGTGAGGTCTCTCTACCCTGCGGTAAGTGGGCAGCTGTCGGAGCGCTGTACTGACAGAAACCCATTCTTAAGCTGCTGGCATCTGCCCTCCTCCACTGAGGAGTCCAGAGGCAAGGGGCGTAAGTACACATGCAAGACCGAGATGACTCTGGGCTGTTAAACAAATCACAACCTCCCCAAAGAGGTGTAGGCAAAATACTGAACCGCATACCCATCCTCACAGAGGTCCCTAGCCCTCCTGTGTGCTGCCAGGAAACAACTGTGGGTCCTGGGCAGGGAGGAAGGCTCTGAGGTAAACGGCGCCCCTTCGCATGGCCGTCAGTGGAAAGCAGCCTCCACTGAGGGCTGGGTGGAGGACATGGTTAAGCTTGGAGTTCACTCGACACATTTTATGCCAACAGTGAGCTGGCCACTTCTCTCACCTGGCCTTGGGACAGCGGGAGACAAGGTGAAGAACAAGAGTCGGGAACCCAATCTTCCAGAGATGGTGTTTAGACCCCCATGCCAAGGCCACTGGGGAATCCAGGCTCTCCAGGTGACATCCACAAGTCGCCTCACATCCTGCCCTGTGAGGGCTACAGAGAACAGTAACCGTGTTACTGTTACCCGAATGGTCCTTGGGCTTTAGTTGTGCAAGCCAGCCTCAGGAGACTATGACTCCAACAAGCTCTGTCTGCACTGATCTGAGCCCTGTCCTCACAACACGCTAGAAACGACTGCAGCTTCCGCAGGTGGCACCGTCACAAGCAGCCTGCACCAGCCCAGCTGCAGAACACTTTGGAATATTGTCAGTGCACACCGGCGAATGCGAGTACGTGGCTTGACCCACGTACCCGTTACCATAAATCCCACCACAGACTAGACATCCAGAGGTTAAAAACACCCTATGACTTTGACACAGCAATAGAAGGAGGGGTAAAAACCGCCAGCGCAGGCGCTCCACCAGAAGTTGAGATGCGCCTTCCAGCTGCTCACATGGCTGAGTCTGTCCTGGCTCCCTCTCTTTCAAACACACACCACCACACTGCTGCGGGAGAGGGCGGGAGTGTGCTTCTGCTGGCTGCACCATAGGCCCTGCAAATTCTCTGGAAAGGCACCAACCTTGGCAATTCAAAAAACTCGGGGCTGGGAGGGACGGCAAGCACATGCAGAAGAGGAATGGAGCGCTGCTGTCCTCTGGTTCAGACCACAGAACCACCACCTGGCACGGGCCCAGAACACCTGCAGTGCTGTGGGAGTGCGCACCCATACACCGCTGTGTCTGCACACATGCAGTCTTTCAGGGCTACAAACCCAGATGCCCTCCCACTGCTCCAAGTGGGATGGATGCAGAGGTGGCCAGAGAAGACAGCAAGAGTTGGACCAGAAGGAGGACCTCTCTGGGGACACGAGAGGAGCACTGGCAGAAATAAGCACAAACCAGCCCGGGGCACCTTTATTACACTACTGTGGGCAAAGGAGCCCATGGGTTTAAGAACTGGCTCTTTATCAAATAAAGTTAATGGGGGAAAGACACCTATGTCAGCCTCATTCCTTTGGTCATTACAAAGCAACAGAAACAAAAGCATTCATAGATCGTGGGCAGTTCGAGGAGCATCTCTGCTCTGTGCTTTCTCCTCCCTCTCTGCAGAGCTGGGAGAACCAGTCCTCGGGAGATGCTGGAGTAGCTGGCTGAGGAAGGTCTTTCACTTTCATTTTCTGTAAAAGCAAGAATGAATAAGAACTAGTGGGGACGGCCCTTCCCCAGCTGGGACATGGCTGGCTGGCGGTGAAGAGCCTCCATCGCGGGAAGGTGCGTGCGCAGGCCGCAGGTTAGGTGGGCTTGCCGAGGGTGCCGATCGTTGCTGACCGTGCTCACACACCTGTGCATGCGCACAGACTATGACTCTTGCAGGCAGCATGGTTTCTGGTCCTTCCGTAGGATGCAGCAGTCTTTTAAAAAAAATATTGTATTATAATAATAATAATATGAATTTCTCTCTCAATTTTTTGTTTTGTTTTTGTTTTCGTTTTTTTTTTCCATTTCTTTTTGGGAATGGGGTAGAAAGGGAGAGGAAGAAAGAACGTCATTCGTCTGTTAGGTCCTGAACAAAGAGAACTTCCGTGTGGCTGAGTCCGGCCTCCTGCAGCGTGGGTGGGCTGGGCCACTCCTCTGAGGGGACGCAGGGCAGCACCCGCCTGGGGAAATTGGCTTCAATCTGAAACTTTTCAGGGCTTTCCTTCAAGGAGAATAAGAAGTCATGGATTACCTGCAGAGGTCACATAGAGGAAAAAAAGGGAGTAAGAAAGACACACACGTGATCGTGAAGTCAAATGTCCCCGACATCTCCAGCATAACTCTGGGGTACGAAGCAAGCTCTGCATGTTGGAACTGCAGTTCGAAGTCCTTCCATTTCCCAGGGACAGGCTTCCATAAGAAATCACTTAACCTTACTCTAGTCCTCCTCTGAACTATCGTGTGATTTTTTTTGGACAATTTATCTGATATGAAACTAAAACATTTCTACTTAGAAATAATCATAACAGAAAAGTGGAAAGAACAGGAGATGGAAACTATTTTTTTGAGAGAGACTTTTGCTATAGGGTGTGTGTGTTCACTGGAGAGACAGAGACACAGAAAGTGAGAAATCACTCCCTGGGGGTTGGCTGCGCCGCGATCTCTTTTCCTCCACTAGCCTCTCAGGATCTTGGGCACGCACGCACACGCGCCTGGTGTTGAACTCAAGCCATTGGGTCTGGGACTCAAACTGCGGTCAACTGCGTGGGAGTCCAGCAAAGTAACCATTATGCCACCTGGTCCCCAGGATCAAGAATTTTCCTCTGTGAACTAGTTGAGTAAGCTGTCCGCCTGATGTTCTATCACCCCAGAATACTAAAGAGTATATGTCTTACAAACAGGGCAGTCTTCTACAAGACCACAGTGCAGTCTTCAAAATCAGGCCGGGGGGCGGGGGGGACCAGCAGTTGGCATAATGGCTATGTTGCTGGACTCCCATGTAGTCGACCGTGGTTCATGTCCTGGACCTGGTGGCTTAAGTTCATGCTGGGCGCACGTGCGTGCGTGCCCAAGATCCTGAGAGGAGAATGGAGAAGGGATTGCCATGTGACCATCCCCCTGGGGGGTGATTTCTCGCTTTCTATATCTCTGTCTCTCTGTCGAGTAGCAAAAATCCTCTCCAAAAAAAAAAAGAAAAAGAAAAAGAAAAAGAAAATCAGGCTGGGGACGAGCACATGACTACCATAATACAATAAGACAGGATAGAATAATATGTACTATGTTATTCAGGCCCCGTTCGAGTTGTCAGTTTCTTTCACAATAAAAGATCAAGTTTCAGGACCAGCAGTGGCATGGTAGTTAAGGAGCCAGACACTCCCACATGGCCGACAACGGTCTGAGTCCTGGACCTGGTGGCTTGCTTTCTCACTTTCCCTGTCTCTCTCTCTGGTCAAATTAAAATAAATGAATGAATAAATAAATTTCTTTAAAAAGTTCAAGTTTCACATAAAACTATTTAAATCAAACCAAATAAATGGGTTTTATTGATCACATCTCTTAGCCTGGAAGAAATCCTTAGTCTTTTCTTCATCTTCGTGGCCTTACCTATTTCTTTTTTTAAATGTTTTGGTCACACTTTTTTTTTTTTCTTTTTGAGAGGTTTTTGCTATAGGGCACGTGTGCTTGCCAGAAAGAAAGAGACAAACAGCGAGAAATCACCCCCCAGGGGGATGGCCACACTGTAATCCCTTCTCCTCCATTCTCCTCTTGGGATCTTGGGCACATGCACGCACACACGCCCGGCATGAGTTTAAGCCACCAGGTCCGGGACTCGAACTGGGGTCGACCACATGGGAGTCCAGCGACATAGCCATTACACTAACTGCTGGTCCCTGTTCACACTTTTTTTGAGAGAGATTTTTGTTATAGGGCATATTAACTCGCCAGAGACAGAAAACGAGAAATTACCCCCTGGGGGGGATGGCCTCAGTAACAGTCTCTTTTCCTCTATTCTCTTCTCAGGATTTTGAGCACACATGCACATGTACCCGGCCTGAGTTTTAAGCTGTCAGGTCCAGGACTTGAACCCAGGTTGACTACATGGGATCCAGTGGCGTAACCATTATGCCATCCACTGGTCCCCTTGACCACACATTTTTAAAAGCTTGCCAGAGAGAGAAAGAGAAGAAAAGTGAGAAATCACCTCTCAGGGGTAATGGCCGTGACACAATTCCTTCTCCATTTTCATCCTGGGATTCTGGACATGCAAACACATGCACCTGACATGATTTTCAAGTCTCCAGAGCCTGGGCTTGAACTGTGGTTGGCCGAGCGGGAGTCCAGCACCTTAATTGCCATGCTACCTCCTGGCTACAGCACCTCGCCCTTTTAGACTGCTGGTCAGCTATTTCACAGGACTCCTCTCTATCTGTTTGGTGCTTACTACGAGTTCGAGGTGCATCTTTGGAAGGGGCTTCACCACATGACACTGCGCCCTACTCCACACACCCTATTCAGGGCAGGGGCACAGCTCCCATTTTTTCAGCTTCTTTTTTTTCTTTTTAAGTTTTTGCTATAGGGCAATGCACTCACCGGAGAGAAAGTGAGAAAATGCCCCCCAAGGGGAATGGTCACATCACAATACTGTCTCTTCCAGTCTCCTCTCTTGCACGCACAAGTGCTCAGCATGTTTTTGTTTTGTTTTGTTTTTTGAGAGGTTTTTCCTATAGGGCACGTGCGCTTACCAGAAAGACAGAGAGAGACAGAGAGATATAGAAAGCGAGAAATCACTCCCCAGGGGGGATGGCCACGCCACAATCCCTCCTCCTCCATTCTCCTCTCGGGATCTTGGGCATGCACGCACATGCGCCCAGCCTGAGTTTAAGCCACTGGGTCCAGGACTTGAACCGCGGTCGGCTACATGGGAGTTCAGTGACATAGCCATTACGCTAACTGCTGGTCTCCCCAGCATGTTTTTTTTTTTGGAGAGGTTTTTGCTATAGGGCGCGTGCACTCGCCAGAAAGACAAAGAGCGACAGAGAGATACAAAGGGAGAAAGCAGGGTGGATGGCCACACCACAATCCCTTCTCCATTCTCCTCTCGGGATCTTGGGCACGCACTCACACACACCCAGCGTGAGTTTAAGCCACCGGGTCCGGGACTCGAATCGTGGTCGACTACATGGGAATCCAGCGACATAGCCATTACACTAACTGCTGGTCCCGATCCCCCAGCATGTTTTTTTTTTTTTTTCATAATCATTTAATTTTATTTATTCATTCACTTATTTTAATTGGGCCAGAGAGATACACACAGAGAGAGAGGGAAAGTGAGAAAGCAAGCCACCAGGTCCGGTACTTGAACCACGGTCAGCCATGTGGGAGTGTCTAGCACCTTAACCACCATGCCACCTGCTGGTCCCAACCCCCAGCATGTTTTTAAGCCACCAAGTCCGGGACTCATCCAGCAGCTGGCCATGTGGGATCCAGCACCTTCACATCCACACCTTGACAGCCCGTCCCCTTACTTCTGATGTTCACTTGGATTAAGGTGGAGTCTGCCAGGCCTCTCCTGTAAACTATTCTTTTCTGTTTGAAACTGAGGAGTTATCTGTGGGGAGGTACTTTGAGACCATCGGGATATTCTGTTTCTCACACTTTCATATTTACTTACTTATAGCAACACAGACTCAAGCTTTTCCTAGTTTGCTGAACTGGCTACAATGTTATAACCACTACTTTAATGCTCAGAGGGAGTTAGCCTCAATGGCTGGCTTCTACAAATTTCTACGTGGTCATTCTCTGAACAATTCCTTCCTTTCTCGCCCAAGATGCTCCAGGCTGATCTTTTTTTATTTTTTATTTATTTTTATTTTTTTTTATTTTTTTGGAGAGATTTTCACTGTAGGGCGCGTGCACTCGCCAGACAGACAGAGATATAGAGACAGAAAGCGAGAAATCACCCCCCAGGGGGGATGGTCACACCGCAATCCCTTCTCCTCCATTCTCCTCTCGGGATCTTGGGCACGCACGCACACGCGCCCGGCGTGAGTTTTAAGCCACCGGGTCCGGGACACGAACCGCGGTCGACTACGTGGGAGTCCAGCGACATAGCCATTACGCTAACTGCTGGTTCCCCAGGCTGATATTTTATTCTCCTTGTCCCAGCCCTGGACATCAACCATTCCTCCATACAGCACCTGTGCTTCTTGATGAACAATGGTATTGAGAAGCCGGTGTCTAGGTCTTAGGGATAATCACTGCTCCTGGGAAGCTGAGGTGCCTAGGCCTTCTCGGTGAATCAAGCTACAGAGTATACATGCGCACACACACACACCCCCTCCCCGTGACTTCATTCTGCCTCCCCGTTTCACCCCTGCCTTAGCAGTCACACACCCCAACCCTGTCCTGGCTTTGATACCCTACCCTGGGCCACTTGGGCTCTGACGGACCTACACAAGGCTGCCCTGATCAAGATCTGACACTCTCACATGGGCCTCCCCTCTGCAGGGATCGCCTCACCCAGCTTCAGCGCTAACAAGGTCCAGGTGAATTTTCAGTGGGGAGTGAGGTAGTTACTAGAAGAACTCACACTGCTGAAACTTAAAATGTAAGCAAGATTCCTATAAAGCAGGCCCCTACCCTCTCCCCATTACTTTTTTTCTTTTTAAAAAATGCAGTGAGTTGTTATACAGACCCTACACCCCACCCCAGGCTCAGGTGCCATCACCAGAGTCCTGTGTGCAGGACTGTGAAGCTGGTGCCAGTAGACCTGCCCACAGAGACGGCACTACGCCAGGGCTGGGGCCAAGGCACTCTGTGGCTATGACTGCTTGTGTGAACGGTGAGGTCTGAATGCAAAAGCAGACAGACCCAGCTCCCAAACACAGGGCAGAGATGGACCGTGCACCAAGAAAACGGGCATCATTTGCTTCTCTCTCACCAGGGTGCTTCCTAACTTCTACCTGCATCAGTGGAGTCGCCCAGGCTCACGTCTGGCCATCTGTATCTGTATAACCTGAGCGTCTCCAGCTCAGTGCAGGGCGTGCTTTCAGTCTGAAGTTATTAGAGGGCAGGCGATATTTCCATTCTACAGATGGAAAACTGGAGGCCCTAGAGAAGATTCTGTAACGTGCTCAACGCTCTCCAGGGAGTAAACGAGGAGCAATGAGTGTGCCAACCAGCCCAAGTGGCGGGCACCCTGCTTTCCAATACGGCTTTCTCCTGGTTATTTCTGGTGACCTGGAAATGACAGGATATATTAAGGCTACAAATTTGGAAAGGCAACGGACCGACACTCACCATAAATAGAAACTTTCTTCTGGCGCTAAATACCAACAGCAATAGTTGGGATCTGAGTGCTTACTAAGGGTGAGGCATAGCGTGGAGCACTTTACAGGACTTAACTCTAACAACAATCCTACAGGGAGTGACTATTATTATTATTTTTTATAGTTGTCCTCTTTTTTTTAAAAATTATTTTATTTACTATTTTTTTCACATGAATTTTGCCAGAGGAAGAGAGACAGAGAGAGGGAGAGGGAGAAAGCAAGCCACCAAGTTCGGGACTCGAACCGTGGTCAGCCATGTGTGAATTCCAGCACCTTAACCACGCCACCTGCTGGGCCCATTATTATTTGTTTTTTTTGTGTGTTTTTTTTAATAATTATTTTTGTTTTATTTAATCATTCATTTATTTTAATTTGACCAGTGAGACACACACACACACACACACACACACACACACACACACACACGGAAAGTAAGAAAACAAGTCGTCAAGTCCAGGACTTGAACCGTAGTCAGCCATGTGGGACTGTCCAGCATTTTAACCACCACGCCACCTGCTGGTCCCCCGAGGGAGTGACTTATTTTGCCCGAAGAACAGATGAAGAAATTAAGGATTAGAAATGAAGTAAATGGATATTCTGCAGCCAGTGCAAAAAGAGGACACTCCAGGGGCCTCCCACTCTCAGACACGCAGTCTTTTGTGGGACTTCTTTACGTGGTACCTTTTTTCCTTAGCAGAGCTCAAACATTAAGATAAAAATAAATTTAAATTGCTCTGAGCTGCACACACTAACTGAAGGAACCTACAACGGTCACTGCACCCCTCCTGGTGTCCATGACATCATGCCCAGCCCTCTGGTCCTCCCCGTTCACCAGAGCAACAGACACGGCGCACTCCACACGGTGCAGGTGGCCCTTACTGTTAGAGACTGTGAAAAGTGGAATCTTCGCTCTACTCGAGAATCATTGGGTAACTTGAAAATGATCTTGACACTGTCAGGGTCATCAGGGGAAGGCTCAGGGGGCAGGCACTCCAGTTTCCTTTCCTTTTCCTCCTGTAAATTCTGTGGAGACACAAGAAAAGATTAGGCTATGGCTCAAGTAGGGAAATAGAAAACAGGAAATACAGCGTCATGCAGGTTTGCTGTGCAGCGAAAGCTAGTAACTACTACTGGTCGAGTACCTGTCATCCGAAATACCTGGAACCAGAGTGGTTTGGATTTCAGATAGTGCCCAGATTTTGGGTGAGACCCAAGTCAAACACAAAATTCATTTTTTATTTATATACTCCTTATTTTTTTTTGTTGTTGTTGAGGTTTTTGCTACAGGGCGTGTGTACTCACCAGAAAGACAGAGACAGAGAGACAGAAAGTGAGAAATCACCCCCCAGGGGTGATGGCCACACCACAATCCCTTCTCTTCCATTCTCCTCTTGGGATCTTGGGCACACACGCACAAGCGCCTGGCGTGAGTTTAAGCCACCGGGTCTGGGACGCGAACTGCGGTCAACTACATGGGAGTCCAGCAACATAGCCATTACACCAATTGCCGGTCCCTGATTTATATACTCCTTAAACACATAGCCTGAAGGTAATTTTATACAATATTTTAAGCAATTTTGTAGATAAAACACAATTTGTGTACACGGGACCGTAAGAAAAGAAAGGCACTGGGCCAACCCTGCAGCACAGCTGTTCAGCCTGTGCACAGACTGCCAGATCCCACCTGGTGGACCGTGATGTAGATCCTGACCCTGGGGGCTCGAAAGATATGCCAAGTGCGTGTGCATGGCCCCAGAATTCTGACGGGAAGGAGAAATGGGAAAGTAGTGCAGTGTGACCGTGCCCCACTGGAGGGACGCTTTCTCTCCTCTCTCGTGAATGTGCATGTCCTCTGGCAACAGGAAAGAGGAAGGAAAAAGAAGGAAGGAGGGAAGAAGGGAAGAAGCGAAGGGAAGGAGGACAGAAAGAACAAGAAAAGGGGCCGTGCTGGTGCTCGCCAAGTTTGGGTTTCCAGCACTTTGCATTTGTGATTTTTGGATTAGGGATGCTCTACCTGTGTAAGATAAACCTTTTGGCAAGAGTAAGAAACAACTTAATAAATGTACAGTTGCATCAACTGTATTACTTGCTGGCTATGTTTAGATATTTAACTATTTGAGGAAAAAAGGAAAGAGCTGAAAGACTGTCTCCAAGCCAGTGTAACACACCACAGAACGAGGTCCTGAACACGTGCCGACTCGGCCAGCAGTGGGAGAAGGCCCGGAGACTGTAAAGGAGGGACATTCACATCGCCACAACACTGACGCCTTCCGGTGTTTTGCTTGCAGGCCTGAGAAGAGGCCGACAGGAAAAACTGGCAGACTGGGGCCACAGGGCGCAAAGACACAGCTGGGGCCACAGGGCGCAAAGACACAGGCCATTACCCGCCGCCGGCGCTCTT